TATCAAAGTCGAATTATGAGAACTGAAGTATCCAGATGAAGGCGTTGTTGGGATCGTTAGATGTATGGGAAGTAACTAAAGATGGGTTTGAAGAACCATCAAATACGACGGCAAACACAGCTGCTCAGAACAAGGTGTTGAAAGAAACGCGAACAAAGGATAAAACAACATTATACATTCTGTTCAGAGCAGTCGGCGAATCAGTTTTCGAAAATATTATTGGTTCGACTACGTCGAAGGAGGCGTGGGACACGCTAGAAAAGGCTTTCAAAGGAGCAGATAGAGTCAAGCAAGTTCGATTGCAGACTCTTCAAGGAGAAATGGAAAGAATGAAGATGAAGGAGACAGAGTCCGTATCGGACTACATCACTCGTGTGCAGAAGGTGGCAAATCAACTCAATCGAAATAGAAAAGAAATAATTGATGCTCGTATTGTCGAAAAGATTCTGAGATCTTTGACAGACAAGTTCGAAAACATAGTATACGCAATAGAAGAAGCGAAGGACCTTTCGACAATCACTGTCGAAGAAGTGGCCGGTTCGTTTGAGGCACATGAACAATGCAAAATAAAGAAGAAGGAGGAGACACTTGAGGATGCAGAACCCAACAAAGACGAAAAGGAATTTTTATCTCAAAATTGGCGTGGGAAAGGACATGGTCGTGGAGGACGTAATGGTGGTCGAAGTTACCAAAAAAACAACTTCGACAGAGGACAGTCAAGCCAACAAAACTGGCGTGACAGAGGACGTGGCCAGAGAGGTGGTAGGTCGAATTACAACAATATTGAATGTTACAAATATAACAAACAGAGGCACTATGCGAAAGATTTCAACTCCTACAGTTGCTACAATTATGGTAAAATGAGACATCTTGCAAAAGATTGTCGACTCAGAAGAAAAATAGAAGAAACAACAAATCTTACCCTAGAAACAAAATCAAATGAAGGATTTCTGTTAATGACTCAAAAGGAAGCAAATGCAGAAAATGACACTATGTGGTACCTGGACTCAGGATCAAGTAACCATATGTATGTTCATAAGCACTTGTTCAAATAAATAAAGAAAATTGAGGATGATCATGTTTCCTTTGGAGATGCGTTGAAAGTAAGGGTCGAAGGAAAAGGAACAATCAGTTTCTTGCAGAAGGATGATTTGTCAGGATCAATCCAAGATGTGTACTATGTACCAAACTTCAAAGCAAATATTTTGAGTCTGGGACAACTCACAGAAAATGGTTATTCGGTTCTCATGGAAGATCAAAGCTTGCACTTAAAAGACAAGTCAGGACGCCTGGTTGCTCAACTCTAAATTGGTAGAAATCGAATGTACAAGTTGAATTTGAGAAGCATTCGAAAAAAGTGTTTGCAAGTCAATATCAAAGACCAAGCATCCTTGTGGCATCTACACTTTGGTCATCTACATTAGGCTGGACTAAGGAGGTTAGCAAAGAAAAATATGGTGCATGGACTGCCAAAGGTAGAATTCGAAGGAAAATTCTGTGAAGAATGTGTGTTTTGGAAAACAGGCGAGAACCTCATTTCAATCGAAGGCAGAATATCAGGCTAAACAAATTCTGGAATTGATTCATACTGACATATGTGGACCAATTACCCCAGAATAATTCAGTGGCAAAAGGTACTTTATATCCTTTATTGATGATTTCTCAAGGAAAACTTAGGTGTATTTTCTGAAAGAAAAGTCAAAAGCCTTCGAAGTATTCAAAAAGTTTAAGATAATGGTGGAGAAAGCAACAGACAGGCACATCAAAGCTCTTTGATTAGACAGAGGTGGGGAGTATACTTCAACAGCCTTTATGAAGTACTGTGAAGAGAAAGGCATAAGGAGATTTCTGATTGCAGCATACTCACCTTAACAAAATAGTGTGGCGGAAAGAAAGAATCGAACTTTCCTTGACATGGTTCGATCAATGCTTAAGAGCAAGAATATGTCGAAGGAATTTTGGGCGGAAGCTGTACAATGTGCAATCTACGTTCAGAATAGATGTCCACATTCGAAGTTGGGGTATTTAACACCTCAAGAAGCTTGGAGCGGACGAAAGCCAATTGTGTCTCACCTCAAAGTGTTTGGAAGTGTGGCTTATGCACACGTACCTAATCAAAGAAGAACAAAGCTGGAAGATAAGAGTCAGAAATACATACTCATTGGGTATGATGAGAAAATGAAAGGTTACAAACTTTTCAACTCAACAAACAAAAAGGTGATAGTGAGTAGAGATGTTCGAGTAAACGAAGGAAGCAAGTGAGACTGGAATAACTCAGCTGAAGTTATGGTCGAATTACCAGATGCTATATCTAAAAACACTTTGACAGAACCAGAAGACTCTGATGATGAAGAAGAACTCTCACAGCCCAAGTTACGAAGTTTACAAGACTTGTATGAAAACACAGAAGAAGTGTATCTCGTATGTTTGTTGGCAGACACTGAAGATGTCAGTTTCAACGAAGCAATAAGAAACAAAAATTGGAAGGATGTTATGAATGAAGAAATTAACGCCATCAAACGCAATGATACTTGGGAACTAGCAGAGTTACCAAGAGGAAGTCAAACAATTGGTGTGAGGTGGGTGTTCAAGAAAAATATAAATGCACAAGGTGAAATCGAAAGATACAAGGCGCGAATTATGGAGAAAGGATACAAAAAGAAAGCAGGAATCGACTATGATGAAGTATTTGCACCTGTTGGGAGAATGGGGACAATTCTACTGCTCATATCTCAAGTTGCTCAATACAAATGGAAAATATATCAGATGGATGTCAAGTCAGCCTTTTTGAATGGCGTGCTCGAAGAAGAAGTGTATGTCGAACAACCCCCTGGATACATGAAAATCGAAAATGAAGGAAAGGTGCTAAAGCTAAAGAAGACACTTTATGGGATGAAGCATGCACCACGAGCATGGAATACACGAATTGACACATACTTCAAAGAAAATGGATTTTAGCAATGTCCCTATGAACATGCCCTGTATGTGAAGAAGGAAAAAGAGAAAATATTGCTTGTTGCTCTGTACGTTGATGACTTAATTTTCTTGGACAACAATAATCATATGATAGAAGAATTCAAAGGCACAATCACACCAGAGTTTGAGATGATTGACTTAGGTCTGATGAAATACTTTCTTGGTATGGATGTTCTACAAGAAGAAGCAGGAATTTTCATCTCACAAGAAAAATATGCAAAAGATATCCTGAAAAGATTTAAAATGGAAAGTTGGAATCCAATTTCGACTCCAATGGAACCAGGAGCAAAGCTTTAGAAATTTGATGGGGGAGAGCGTGTCGAAGAAAACAAATTTTGAAGCTTGATGGGAAGTCTTTGATACCCCACATGCACAAGGCCAGATCTTTCGCTGAGTGTTGGAATTGTGAGTCGTTTCATGGAAGAACCAGTTTTTGCATAGTGGAAAGCTCTGAAGAGAATCCTTTGATATGTCCAAGGAACTGTGTCACTTGGAATGTTTTATTCGAAAGCAGAAGAATACAAGTTGACTGGTTACTCTGACAAAGATTGGTGTGGTGACATAGATGATCAAAAGAGCACTTTAGGATATGTGTTCTTCATGGGAAACACTGCATTCACCTGACTGTCAAGGAAGCAACCCATAGTAACTCTTTCGACATGTGAAGCAGAGTATGTGGCAGCATCTTGATGCGTATGCCATATAATATGGCTGGGAAGATTGTTGAGCAGGATGGAATCGAAACAAGAAGATGCAACAATAATTCAAGTCGACAACAAATCTGCAATCGAACTGGAGAAGAATCCAATCAACCATGAAAGAAGCAAGCACATTGATGTTCGATTCTATTTTATTCGAGAACATGTGAAGGATGGAAACATCGAACTGAAGCACGTTGCAAGCAAGGATCAAGCAGCATACATTTTTACAAAACCATTGTCGAAGGAGCTATTCGACAGAGGCAAGAAAATGCTAGGCATGATGGATCGAAGGAATATTTGAATTTATGGGGGAGTTTTGTTGGTTAAATTCAAATTTGTCTTGGGTAGTGCAAAAGACAGATTCCCTTTGGATAGTGCAAAAGACAGTTTTCCTTTGGGCAGTGGGAAGTTTATTCCTTTAGGGAACTAGAAATAGTTAATATTGTAACTTTTAATATTCTATCTTGTGATCCTATATAAATCACTATGTACTCATATTAAAAGTAGTTGGACATTTTATAAAGAAAGCAGTTTAAAGTCCACTCCCAATTTTTCTCTTCAATTTCTTCACAAACAACCAAAGGGGAAAATGAGAGTTTTGAACGGAGGGAGTACGCAGAGGGAGTCTGGTTCGGCGGTGGTCTGATTCAATAGAGGGAGTTTTGATCGAATGAATGGATTTGGTGCAGAATATTAGGGTTTGGTGATATAAGGACCTTTTTACATTTGTTGGAAAGTTAACTAGATGTATAATGTAATTCATCTATTTACAAAACTGCCACCGTGTTTTTATTTTTTTTAGGACTGGACTTTTTACATCGGTTGGAAAATTTGTCCGATGTAACGTGTAATTCATCTATTTACAAAACTGTCACTATATTTTTATTTTTTTTAGGAATCGACTTTTCACATCATATATTTTTATATCTAATATAAAGACCTTTTCTCAAATGTCATATTTTTAGTAGTGATTAGGGATTTATAACCTCTATTTAAATTATTTCTGGAGGTATATCTCATCTTTTATATGCTGAGGGTCTTAAAACATAACTTGTTAATCATTAGTCACTTGTATGACAATGATTATAAAATTAGTTTCCATCCCTTAGCTGAATAATTGAAAGTGATGTGCATCAAACACAGGTTGTTATCAAATCTATATGAACTATGTATGTAGCAGAATAATAGTGGCATTCATATGTCTGTACTTTTTTCATTTGTCCATATATCAGAATGTACAACACAAGTAGAATTTCTCATGAGTACAGACACATTATTTTCTTCATATTTACACTAACTTTTTTAGTTCTTGCTAAGCCTTATTCACCAGGTTGTACTTATAGGCCTTCTTATTCCTCTCAATTTTTCTGTTCCCTTTTGACCCTTTGTTGAATTCTTTCTCTGTAAAAGCTGCAGCAATACATAATAAACACTCATTCAAAATGATGTTAGTAATACTAATAGGAATAAAGAGAAATTATATTTGAAACATTAAATCTATGTAGCGTCGCTTCAAATTGAAGGCGTGTTTGGTGGTTTCTGACACAAGTTCATAACATAGATAAGGTTATTATTAGTATCGACGTGTCAGTGTATCTGGTGTTCGTTGTCTCTTTTTCGTAGCACTTAATTACTTACCTCTTGTTTCCTCTTGCTCTCTGCCTCAGCCTATTACAAACACAAAAAAATAGATGTATATGTTAAGTATCAGAAAACATAATTCATGACACAAGTAAGAACATAAGAGCATAAATATTCAATTTCAGTATTGTTTACCAGAATTTGTTTTAGCTTTTCATTCTCTTCTTTTAGGTGATTCAGCTCTGCCTCTAGCTCCACAGTATATGCCTGCATTACAACAATTTGCCATTAGGTAAAGGACCCCAAATTGAAACAAAGAGTAGAGAACGATGAACACAAAACCTGTCTTCTTGCTCGAGAACGAGCAGCCGACTCTCGATTTTTCAACATTCTACGTTGCCTTCGCTCCACTACAACCTCGGGAGGACCATCAATTATCCTCTTGCTATTATTACATCCACTTGATTCAGGCAAGTTTTGACATTTCCCGAATGCGCGGTCCTGCGCTCCTGAGTTGTTATTCTGTGACAACATTTGGTATGGTACAAGACCATTTCTAGAATATCCCATTCCAATTGAAGGCCTCAAACCATAACTTGCAACACTCAATGGTCTCATATTACTTGAAACACTGCCACTGTGATTCTGAAATGACAACGATGATGATTGTTGTTGTACTACACCAGCTTTCACAAAGAAATCCTCCAAAGTCATTTCTCCAAGTGTTTGTTGCTTCTTGAGTGTCTCGTTTCTCTTTAGGCTATTTTCTTCTTTGAATTGTGGTTGGTTTTTATGAATCTCAGACCAAACTTCATCCACAGTTTTCTTGCAAATTGGCGGAGGGATGGAGAATAAGTTACCATGTTGTTCTTCTTCTGGTACAACACTCTTAGTATTCTTGTGAGATTGAGTAGCTTCATCACTGGAACTGCAAATACTGGCTAGGAATTCTTCCATGTTGAGGGAACCAAAGCTCTTTCCACTCTTGCATTGGAACTCATCAAGGGTGAGTGAGAGTATTGAGTCTTGTTTGCTTAGTTGAGAAAATGGAGTTTCTTCTTGTTCATTTTGCAATGAAACCTCTTGATCCATTTGTTGTAGAGCCATGGATGCTTATGAAGATTCTAATTCATGAAAGAAAAATGCTAATGAGTATCCTTCAAAACAATATTTAAGAAAAAAGTATAAAAATATCGTAAAAAATGTTGCACTCAACTTTAAGTTGAAGATCGGATCGTTATGACCTATGATTTGTCGTTATGACCTATGATTTTAAGTTGTATTGTAATTTATGTTTTAGAATTAAAATCATAAACCGTTTGATCTCTATCTAACGATATATCAAAGTTTACCAGAAATATACTGTGATTAAAAATTTAAGATGATGTAAATGGATGCAATAGTTAAGAAAACAAATATAAAAATATTGCAAAAAATGGTGCACTCAACTTTTAAGTTGAAAATCGGATCATTATGACCTATGATTTTAAATTGTGTTGTAATTTAGATTTTGGAATTAAAATTATAAATCGTTTGATCTCTATCCAACGATATATCAAAGTTTACTAGAAACATATTGTGAATAAAAATTTAAGATGATGTAAATGGATGCAATAGTTAAGAAAATAATAGTTAAGAAAACAAATATAAAAATATTGCAAAAAATACTGCTTTCAACTTTTAAGTTGAAGATCGGATCATTATGACCTATGATTTTAAATTATGTTGTAATTTAGATTTTGAAATTAAAATTATAAACTGTTTGATCTCTATCTATAACGATATATTGAAGTCTACCAGAAACATATCGTGATTAAAAATTTAAGATGATGTAAATAGATGCAATAGTTAAGAAAATAAAGTTAAAAAAACAAATATAGAAATATCGCGAAAAATGGTGCACTCAACTTTAAGTTAAAGATCGGATCGTTATGACCTATGATTTTAAGTTGTATTGTAATTTATGTTTTAGATTTAAAATCATAAATCAGTTGATTTCTATTGGACGATATATCAAAGTTTACCAGAAATATATTGTGACTAAAAATTTAAGATGATGTAAATGGATGCAATAGTTAAGAAAACAAATATAAAAATATTGCAAAAAATGGTGCACTCAACTTTTAAGTTGAAAATCGGATCACTGTGACCTATGATTTTAAATTGTGTTGTAATTTAGATTTTGGAATTAAAATTATAAACCGTTTGATCTCTATCTAACGATATATCAAAGTTTACCAGAAACATATTGTGACTAAAAATTTAAGATGATGTAAATAGATGCAATAGTTAAGAAAACAACAGTTAAGAAAACAAACATAAAAATATCGCAAAAAATGATGCTTTCAACTTTTAAGTTGAAGATCGGATTATTATGACATATGATTTTAAATTGTGTTGTAATTTAAATTTTGAAATTAAAATTATAAACCGTTTGATCTCTATCTATAACAATATATCAAAGTCTACTAGAAACATATCGTGATTAAAAATTTAAGATGATGTAAATAGATGCAATAGTTAAGAAAATAAAGTTAAAAAAACAAATATAAAAATATCGCAAAAAATGGTGCACTCAACTTTTAAATTGAAGATCGGATCATTATGACCTATAATTTTAAATTGTGTATTAATTTAAGTTTTAAAATTAAAATCATAAACCGTTTGGTCTCTTTAATATATTGAAGTTTACCTAAAATATATTGTGACTAAAAATTTAAGATGGCTAATAGTTAAAAAAATAAATATAAAAATATTGCAAAAAATGATGCACTCAAATTTAAAGTTTAAAAAAATAAATATAAAAATATCACAAAAAATTATGCACTCAAATTTTAAATTGTGTTATAATTTAGGTTTTAGAATTAAAAACATGAACCGTTTGATCTCTATTTAACTATATATCAAAGTTTACCAGAAACTAGTAGTGTGACTAAAAATTTAAGATGATGTAAATGAATGCAATTGCATCCCTTGTTACCAGTTGCATGCAACATGCAAACATGCATACGAATGTTATTTATATGAACTTCAAGAGGACAAGGTAAAAATCAATACAAAAACAAAAGAATGAAAGGGAATATAGATGTGTACCTGACTATACAAACATCAATTTAGAGGATGGGAATTGTGATGAGAAATATTGGAAAGATATATGAGAGAAAAGGAATATAAGATAAGACCTACACTAGATGAAAGAGAAAGGAGAGGACATTCAGTGCATAGAGACACAAACCTTAAATGCTAGTTACAATATTAAATCAAATTTTTGTTGTGATTGAGAAAGTGGTGCCCTTTTTATGGATGAGTTATGAATATTTGTTGACACGTTTTGTGATGCATGCAATTGCCAAGAGGAGTGTACTCTACTCTTCAAGTTAAGTTAACCATTGTAACCGTGAGGTTGGTTGGACAATTGTTATGGTTTACTTTGGTTCTCAATTTACTAATCAACCCTATCAATATGGATAAGATTGCAATAAAATTAAGTTTTTTATTAGTAAATGCATTCGGTCAAATCATATCATATAGAAATTTATTAAAATATTTGAAGATCTAACAAGTGACATTAAAATGTAATTTGATAGATGTGTAAAAGGTTTTACAGTGTTGGTATATATAAAGCAGGATTAACTTAGAGTTACTCTTTAATAGCTCATTATAAATAGTATATATTCTACAAATTTAGATGTTAAAATAAAAAATTATTAAGTAGATGATCTATACATTTTTATAGACATTTAACACTTCATTTAACATTTTCAATGGAATAAATGAGAAACTCTTAAAAAATCATAAGAAAAACGTCACTATACAATTATTTATTTATTATTTCGTGGTATTTTTCTTTTATCAAGTAGTATAGTGGTTAGAATTCATTTTTAAAGATAAATAAGTGAGATGTCGTATGTTCGAATTTGTGTTCCTATATTTGATGTCTCTGCATATTTACTAACCGAGTTGATTTTATTAGTGAATGAGACACTTTTAATGAGGAGAGAAAGAGAGAATAATAAAAAAATAACGATTTGTATTATTGAATTGTATAAATAATGACACATACTATGACTATTTTATATATAATTTTAATTTAGATTGAGTCTACACAATTTAGATTATATTTAAATATTAAATCTAATCTAATCAAATCAAATCAAATCAAATATTTTAACAAATCTAATTTAATATTTCAACAAACTTAACGGAATTCAGTGACGTGTTTTTGCAATACATCAACACAAAATAGAGAAATACATGATATTGTAAGTTACAATCCACATATGTGATTTTATCATTAAAACATTTATGTTAGAGTGATAGTCAATTCATTTACATATTCTCAAAACTCAAACCACAATAGGATCCTGAGTTCATCTTCTCTCTAAAGTTTTCATCAATCATAGCTTGCACAGTTGATGGAAGGTTCTCTAATTTCTAATTTTATTCGTGTGGATTAAATAAACACGTATATTGTTGTTTGTTCGATGCTTGTAATCAATCCAGTTTGACGAACAATGCTTCTATGTTGAAATTACTTCTAAAGTATCCCTATCTTGTTTGAGTCTTTTGTTGCTTGTTATTTCGTATATTACTATCAACAATTGAGTCCCCCACAATAAGTTTGATGCGTATCTCTTAGAAAATGATTATTTTTCATACAAAAAAATATTTTTAGTGCATAAAACAAGTCTTTGACTAAAATTCAATGCAAGATGATTTGAATCAACAAGTTTGTTATTAAAATCAAGAAATTTAGGCAGGCATAATTCGAATCATGAAAGTCCTTGGTTCGAATCATAGCATGGTGAGATCCAAGGACCTTCTTAGGATATTCCTTAAGACTCTAAAGATTGGGGCATACCTCTCAAAATTCAAATGTTGGGGAAAACCGTTGCAAGACTCAGAAACCAGTTCAAAACGGTTCATCAGGGGAAAATTATCCCAATATCTAATCAAGGACATTGAGGTTTCAAAATTCAAAACAGTGGGGTTAGCCATCTCAAGTTCATGGTAGAGCCAAACTACTTAAAAATTCACACTGAGGCGAATCTCTATAAAGACTATTAAATTGAGGCAAGATATGCCACGAAGGGGTAAGCTTTCCTCCTACTTTCACAATCCTCAGGGAATCCCTTTCCTACATCAGCAATCTTCAAGTTCAAAACGAGTGTCGGAAATCATATTGGCATAATACCCTACCACCTTTTCAACAATAATTCTTGTTACACTAGTGACCTCTCTAAGTCTTAATCATTTCATTACCCACCATATGGGCACCATTCAAAAGCATTTGAGTCAATGTAATAAATCATTGTCATGCATTCATTAGGTCGCTTCGCTCTAGTATCAAGCCATGCATATCACCTTATTTATATTCTTATCATTTGAATCCTACACCATCAAGATGCCTTGCAATCCAAGTATGAACAGTCAAAAGGCTCAACCTCGATTGTCAGCTTACAAAGACCAACCTTACTTGGCACCCAGCACCTACATATCAAAAGCCCAATTACTCATTGACATTTCCAAGCATTCATTAATACATATCCAAGTCACTCATTACATGCATCGATTAATCATTACATTTAATGCATCAATCAAAATGCACGTCAAAATAATCATAAATCATAACGCATAGCATAAATCCCTAATCCAATCACCTGATTGATGTTTCACGGTAACCTTACCGATGCTAGTAACCTTACTGATTGTTCATTTTCCAATCACTTGATTGATGTTTCCCGATAACCTTACTGATGTCAGTAACCTTACTGATTGTTCATTTTCCAATAACCTAATTGATATTTCCCAGTAACCTTATCGATGCCAGTAACCTTACTGTTTGTTCATTTTCCCAATAACCTGATTGATGTCTCTTGGTAACCTTACTAATGCCTATCATCAAGTTGTCCACCTTCCGGTATCCTGAGTCAAACCCAATTCCCGTCTGGAAAAATCATTTCAAAACCAAGTTCTCGTCTGTTAGACTACCTTAAAGTCAGCAATTCAACTTCAAATAACACGTTGTCGTAACTGGCAAAAAAATACGAGTTGCCACCACTATTTTTTTCTAAAGTACGGGAAAGAACGGTTAACCCTAATTGGTT